ATGTGGGTGCGAACCTTTGTTTGAGCGCACAAGCTTTATCAAAAAAAGGAATGAAAAAATGGAAAGAGAACTAATCGAGGCTTTCTGTATACACAAAGCGGCTGACAGATGCGTAAGCATGCCATCTCTTTATCTGTTAACCAAAGAAATTGTGTTTCTTGAAGGATGCGCCTAATGAGAGATATGAATTTTTATCAGTTGCATGTGTTTAGGCGATTGGGATTGAGTTTGACGATGATTCGTGTTTTAAAAAATCAGTTGGAAGTTGGCGCCTGTCCGTGTCGTACGTGTCTCTTTTTCGTCCTGTTTGTTCGCGCCTTTTAACCTTTTAATCGATATGAACCAACTAGCCCTAACCAAAGTTTTATGGCAACCAATGGGACCGAAGCTTTACTCCGCTCCTTTGGGATCGGGGCAACTAACTGCCGTCCGGCTAGGCTTTTCGCTTTGTTTCTCCTCCGGGCAGTCAAGTTTGGTGTAGGGCGCCTGCATACGGGACTCCCGTCTAAGGGTGGTGTCAGCCTCTGACCCACCCGTTGCCACCACCCGCCGGCTCTCAGTGCTGCCAGTTCGGGTTGCCGTGGTGACGCGGCGACGCTGCGCCATCTTGGGGCTCTGATAACAGCAATCGTAGTGTACGGCTCGGTGTCTATGTCGCGGTCCTGTCCTGTTTACCGCGGCTCCTTTTCGACGACGTCGTTCCCGATAGCGCTGGCGCACGCTACGCGCTTTTAAAAGACTTGAGGAGCAGAAATGCCCGGATGTTGCGTTCCGCAATGTACGAGCCACAACAGGCAAGGCGTACGAATGTTTCGCTTCGCGGCTAGCCCTAATCGAAAAAGACGCTGGCTTGCTCAAGTGAAACGGGACCGCTGAGAGACCACTCCTGCTTGTCGTGTCTGCTCCGCGAGTATATTTTATGTTCTGTTGAGCCCCTTCCTCCGCGTGTAATGATTTGTCCGTCATGCGCGGTCTTCGTTAGCGTGCGTTGTGAGTTCGAGCCGTCGCGGCAATAAAATATCTTAAAAGGACACCGACTCTGACTTTCTCATGTCTGCGTTCATTTGTTTTGATTTTACGACGCACGCGTTTGCTGTTTTGAGAGCCTACAAGGTACGTTTGACGTGACGCAAAATAAACACTAAAATTACGTTAGAAGTTGAAGTGATGGGCGACGTAACCTCAGCCTGCTATTGTGCGTTACGTCCGACGTTACGTAACTACATCCTTCATTTAGAGCTGCGTCTACTCGGTCAGACTCCTCCCTCCATATTCGTATAGTCTCCTATATATTCTGTTTCGTTACGTTTCCGAGTGGGTTGGAACATTGTCGCCGAGCGTGTGATCACTTTAAGAGTTCGGTACTCGCGATAGTTTATGGGATTTCTCAATCTTTTTTTCAATGGTAGCACGTTGGGGGTCACGTTATTGCGGCATACGAGTACAGCTCCGATAATCATATGTGTCTAGGAGCGTACTCGCGATGACTCGCGTTTTTAGCATCTGCTGTAAAGTGCTAGCGCGTTTGAACTCAAAGTGTATGTGGGTAAACGATCGATGAGAATCCGTAGGAGCAGTGGGCTATAACCATATACATGCATCTCAAACCCGGAGATTGCCACTGATTCCAACCGGATTGCACATTCTATGCCACAGATTGTAACACTAAATATTGCATAAAACTTCTATTGGATGCAACCAAGGAGAATAGATGCAACGCTAAGTTGCTAAGTTACGGACAGCACGCCAAACATTAGAGCTACAGAACAACAACACGAGTTCAGGAATACCATTCACTATAACGATGACTGCAGACCACATCCTCACTCGTCATGGGGTGTGTTCATGTATACTGTATATTGTTTACATGAACGACAGGAGTCTGCTGCATGGAGGCTCCCCAGTTTGGTGTGACACGTTGCGCAATCTAGCTCAAAATATTTGTATCACTGCGAAGGCCCTTTCGCCAGCCAGCTTGCCCGTGGGTCTATTCACGCATCACCTTGAAGGTGTTGATTCATGCGTTTTTGATCTCTAATTCTTGACATTGCTATCGGATGTCGCAGAAGAGCTAACGCCGAAGCTGTAGGCACTGTTGCGTACTGGACTGTCGCAACCCTGGAGTTTAGCAGACGTGAAGCTCCGCAGGTTTCCGTCGAAACCGTGGACAATACAACGCCATCGGAGATGAATAAATGCCATAAAGCGTGTAAAATAAGCATTTCGTTCGCATTGCCTGACTTGAGATGCATTTCTAAATGCGCTATTTCACTCGATATTTGAAATTATTGCTCTCGAAACCAGGCGTTGTCTTTGGATTCTATGCGATGACTCTAGAATCAGATCAGTCCTTTGACACTCTCATTGCTCTCTGCTCCACGGACACATCTTGATCGAACGACGTTTTGTGGACGTTTGATCGTAGTTACCGAAAACCGAAGTGAGCGTTTTTTCCGCTTCGTCCATTGCACAACGGACAGTCGTTTCAGCCTTCAGCATGATCGCGTAGCTGCCCAAGATGGTTGTTCTATTTCGACCCGTGTCTATGCGGTCCTAACTTCATCCCTGGTGCGAGAAAAGTCTACCCAAGAAATAACAAAACAATTACTTACCCCACGCCAAAGGGTTATTCAGGCGGCGTTTATTTCTGTTCTAAGTAAAAGTGAACAGCATATTCAACCGACGAAAACGAGCATCAGCTTGCGCCGAGCAACTGCGTACGACACCGTCCAAACTACAGCCAGATGGCACGAAAAACACATTCCTCGGACACCACAACCGTCTTCAACACGCGAAGAGGGCTCTAGAAGCAAGCTGACCACCAAAATGAGGTCAGCTTTCCTGCGGGGATAGTTCGCTTGGAAACAAAAAGGTGAGTAAGGATGAGAGGGAGGGGGGGGGGGGGGGGCGTTTTTAGTTCTGCTTTTGCAGTGCGCTTTTGAAGAGGAGGGAAGCTCGATGAAGTCTTCGCTTTTGTAATCTTAAAACGCCCGCAAACAACGTAAAAAAAAAGAAAAGAAACTGTTTTAGCTCCCGTTTTGGGTTGTCTCTGTCTATCGAAGAAGGCACCTACTGAAACTCCCTAATGCTAGAACGGCACAACCACACACGGATGCACATTTATATATTTAACGTTTGATAGATTCTTAAAACAGTCAGTAGTGTAACGCGCGACAACACAACGCTCGGAGTTGGTAATAACGTAATCTCGCATAAGTATGCCGGCAGCGCTGCCGATTTTAGCCGTCCCAGTATTGCCTCATTTGGCCACGGTGGCGCTGATGATCAACCGACGGTGGCGCTCTCTGGAACCCTGCCCAGAGCACTTGGAGAAAGGAGTTTAGGTGCCGTTTGCGCGGCTTCAAAACTGATGACGTTGGCTCCTTCCATGAGACCCCAATTATTCCTTTCGCATTAAAAAAAAAAACACGCGTGCGATGCAAAAAACAACAAAAATTTACCAGCACATAAAAAACGTAAACGTGACGAGGCAAAATAAAAAAGCATTACGTATTGTCTCCTCCCTCTTTGCAGCCTTCTGTAACTTTCTCACTCTTTACCTACGTACACAATACTGCCGATATTATCATTTTGACACACCCCGTGACTTAATGCTTAGTAGCAGGATTGTCCTCGCAATTTGTGTTTGAATAAACATATTTTCATTCATTTATTATTTTAGGGCCACTGACGTTAGCGCCCTAGATTCGTGGTACTCTCTCCTCGCCTATACTACCCATTCCCAATAAAGCACTCGAACAGTAAAAATATGCAATAAAGTACTTAGCTAGAAAATGGCACCATCCCAAATCCTCAACCTTTTTTCGTGTCCGGCAAGAAGGTATTGATTAAAATGAAACCTGCTCTGACACACAATATGCTCAGCAGCTCAGCACAGATGAACGGCGCCGTGTTTTTTCGACCCTTCTGCGATTTACTGATGGCTAAGTCCCAGGAATGGAATGCATGCTCCGAGAACCTGATGCACTCATGCTTTTTTAGTTTGGTGTACTGCACTTTTTTAACTCGTGCGTAGTACAATCAAGTAAGAAATGTTTGATGTGTTCTTGAAGTGCGCAGACTACTGAAGGCGTCTTCAACGTTTATTTTCTCTGTGTTATGACTGTACCCGTTGTTATTTTGGTACCTTGTTTCGCTAACGGGTATACGTCTAGGTCATTCAAAATTCCAAAACCATTAATTTATTTTTGTATTTCATTTCATATATTGTTCCCTTAAAGCGCCCGTAGGGCTTTACGTAAGGGGGGGCTTTGAAAACAAACAAAAACAAAGAAAGGAAAAACACAAGGTTAAAGGTTGCTAAATATTCAGAAAAGTAGCAACTGCAGGTCTGAGTCCAGGTGAGTGTTGAATTGTAACAATATGTTCTAGCAGAGAGTTCCATTCTGAAAGTGATAACTGCTGTGGAAAGAATTTAAAAAGGTTTGTTCTTGGTGTTAACAGATAAACTTTCTGAGAATGATCTCTACGAGGAGAAATGTGATGAGCCGCAGGACACTACAATTCTCTCTTTAAATGGGCCTGATAATACAAATCGTGTAATGAAACTAGTCTGGTCAATTTCCTTCTTTCAGCGAGCGCGAGCAGTGGAAGGCCGAGTTCTTTTTTTAGCGTAGTAATGCTAGTGTGTGTGTAGTTTTTAAGAATGAACCGGAGTTGCCCTGTTTTAAATAGCTAAACTCTAACCGGAGAAGATTTCGCTTTGTAATACCTCTGCTACGCGGGAATTCTTAATGCCATCCAATTGAACAGTTTCCTAGAATCGGCGATTTAGCTCGTGATTCCACTCTGTGTGTCCAACATGACAGGCACTAATTCATCAATTATACACGGATCTTTGGTCTGGATGCCTTTGACGGGCCCATGGTACGAGGATATGTGTGCAGTTCGTAATTCGAAAGATTGAAACTGTTTCGTAAGATTTTCTTCCTTACTATGACGTTTTGTAAGAAACACTTACACTTCTTTTTATTTTCAAGAATGGGTGCTGTGTATGACGGCCAGAGACCTCCACGAACCGATCTCGTAAGAGGAGGTGACGGAGCAGCCCATTGTAAACCTGAGGAGGGATATCTCATGGGCCATTGGGGAAATGTTGAAAGGAGTTTTACATTATCTACATGCACGCCGCATCAGCATATAATTGTTCTTAGGTACGTGTGCTTTTGATAACGTTTATTCAGTGGTAATCTACGTAACCTTTAGAACAACATTTCGCTCCATGTATAATGCTTGTGTGTCCGTGCTAAACTTATTATGAGACTGACTGGGGCCCTCATGTACCCACCCGGACAAAATTAGGGTATCACGGGCAGTTGGCTGTGTACGCTTTACAGCTTCATGAGGGTTACATTGAAGCAATTTTCGGTACGCGTCAGCTAGAAGAAGCGCATTACTTGTAATGTAATATGTTTGTAAATTTCTCATTGCAGCGTTGTTTTTTTTTTTTTTTTGGGGGGGGGGGCAGTAATTTGCGATAGAATTTAGTTACAAAATCTTTGTAAAAACATGCTTTATTAATATTTGTTACTTTTATAAAGTAATGTGAAAATAATACAATAAGTAAAGGCCTCAATCAATTCAAGAACAAACGAAAATAGTTTAGGATCGTGACAGGGATGGGCAAAATACATGCAGATATGTATCGAAATACAAATACAAAATACTTCGTCAAATATGTATTTAATTACAAATCTAACTACATTTCCAAAAAAGCATTTAAATACAAGATACAAATACAACCAAATGTATTTAGTCTCCTCCAAATACTTTTCCAAATACATTCCTCAAAATTTGCGTCAGGGACTTCAGGGCACCTGCAACGGGTTTCTGGGGATCTCATTTTAATTTTGCATCGCACACTCGGGAGTTAGTGTGCGAGGCTCTAGTAACGTAGTAGAAATATAATCACAAAAAATGTAATCAGCTTGGACGTAATTGGTGATAAAAGTAGAGAGCTTCAAGCAGCTTTTTTTTGTCGATTACATTTTGGTATAGACCAACAAAGAACTGAGACGACCAAGACGCGCAGCACTAGCTAGGGAATATTTTATTGTTGCAACTCGCACCAGTTACGAAAATCTGGACGAGCCGCGCATTTAGAATATTCCAGGCAAAAATATGGATGGAAATCAGGCTGTAAAGCATCACAAGTTGTCACAGGCACTTATTTAGCCAGTCTGCCTGTGAACGTCGATTTCGTCACTATTCTTGCTTTGGACTAGCACCGAAATCACAATGTTACTAAACGCTTGTGCTTGGTTGAGAGACACTGCTTTCGGTGCAGAACGTAGTTTTCTTCCTGTTCTGGACAGTGACAATAAATTTGAGGGATGTATTTTTGCCCGCAAAATTGTATTTAATTACAATTGTATTTGAAATACGCACGTTTCAGTATTTAAATACATTTGTCAAATACATTACCTAATTTGTAATTAAATGCAAATGCAAAATACACAAAGTATTTGAAATATGTATTTTAAATACTTTTATTTCAAATACTGCCCATCCCTGTATTGTGATAACGTGGCCTCGAATTTGCGATGTCATGCCACGAGGTCTGCAGAAACCTGATAACTACCACTATATAAATACGTGTTTCCCTTGAATAAAGATTGTTCGTCGTTGGCTTCCAATTTACGAGTTACTACAAGTACTACAAATTTGAAATATTGTAAGTCAAATTGGAATGTGCCACAGAAAAGTGATTTCGATTACATCCAAGGCGGTCGTAAACTTGCGGATAATGGGTACGCCACCATTTTAGCTTTAATTGTTAATTACAAAAAAGACATTCGAAATTAGGGGAGATTAAGATTGAAAAAAAAATAATAAATATATGGGACGAAGACGACACAACCATATCTTTCAACTACCAACGGACATCAACAAATTACAAAAGCGAGCAACTGTGCTCGCTTTTGGAATTCCTATATGTCTGTGACTAGTTGAAAGATTCGATTGTGTTGTCTTCGTCGTCCGTTTATTCTTTCTTCAACCTTGACCCGTACAAACACGCGCTTCGTCCACTAACCGTAGATTAGATCATCATATTACGTAATTACTTGTGTGAATGAAATATGCTATTTCTACCGTCGAACTTTTCTAACTTTATACAACATTAACACAAATGCAAGGATGTCGTCCGACCAGTGTACCATGCGTGCAAGAACATGCATTCTGAGCGTGCCGGCAACTTCTCCACTTGCTATTTCAAGTGATTTTTTAAACCAGCAGAGACATGGGGCAAGTAAGGTCTTGTTTGAAATTATGAAGAGTCATCTGGGTCTCATAAGCTTGTGACAAACCTTATCTCCGCTTTATTAGGTCATGCTTACCAAATGATTTTGAAAACTTGCACGGCACACGTGTTTTTTTTTTGTGCATATTCATTGATAAACTACCAGAAAAGTTGCGTGCGTTTTGGGAAATGGCAGAGGCTCGAGCATTATAAAAATTAAGACATTCGATGTGCACTGTTCACGCGCTCAGCCAAACTGCGCTTTCGCGTCCATGCCTTTCCTAATGCTGCACGCAAATATTAAGATCATAATAACGTCCTCATTTTATTTTTATTTTGACCTGAATAAAATATTAATAAGATAATTAAAAGTAGTAGAAAAAATAACTAAAAGCATAGAAGTTGTACTTATGTATTACTAGAGAATTATCTGTGCAAGGTAACGTGACAGCAATGTGTAACGTAAGATGTAAAGTAATTAAAAAACATTATGATAGTAAATACTTAGGGTAATTTGTTAAAGGTTCGGGAGCTGCTCACTGTGATATCTTCCTGGTTTTAAGTTTGTGGGCGTAATTATCCAAAAAATATTAAAGATTGCTCCAGTCTTTTTTTTGTTTTGTCACGAATGACGAGGTGACGAAACAAAGAATAACTGAGGAAATTGACACCTTTAATTGGGCGAAATTGTGCCCAAAACACAGAAGATAACAACTGAGCTTCACGGGCGTCGAAGTCGGCGCAACAGCAGGATCGAACGCTGGGCTTGCCCCGGCTGGCCCCGGCTAGGCCCCGGCTCACCTTTTGTAGCCGCGTGGGTTTCTGGAACATTCGGCCTAGAACGTTTGGCGCGTACAACATTCGTACCTCAATCAGACGAGAAAGTCCTCGAATCTGCGAGAGCGCCAGGTAGAAAGAATGAATAAAAAATATTCCTCTCACTGGAATCGAACCCAGACCCTTAGCGCGACAGCCAAGCACGGTAACCATTCGGCGACGTACGCGCTCGCTCAGCGACGCGCGTGGCAGTATTTCTAAATGGGGCACGCCTTCACTCTTCACATTAGGCATGCCTATTTGTTACCAAGTTCAGTTCGGAAAAGTGTTGGGGGCATCCCCTTCGATAAGTAGGCTGAACCTAGCTGGAGTACCTTTGCAGGCAAGCTCGACGGAACCGTTGGCATGTAGTTTCGGATTTTTATCTATTTTTCAAACGAACCCTGTTGATCTTAGGGTGGGAAATTATAAATAGGTTGATCATATCTTATGAACGTGGGGCCTCGTATCTAGCTTACTGATAAATAAAGTGGGCTGGTGTGTACTCTTTTGCTTCTCATATGGAACACATTTGAGTAAAGCATCAGAATAGCTGCCTCAAAGCACCCCTATTTAATCTGGATGGGCTGAAACTAGGTAAAAAATAGCAGCCATAAACTCTATGCCATTTAGGTTGGATTCTTCAAATATGCGAAATGCTTTAAAATAAAAATTGACCTCTGATTTGCGTTTACTACAATAAAGATCGAGTGTAGAAAAAAAACGACGTAAGTTCAGAAAGTACGTTCAGAAAACGACGTAAGTTCGGAAAGAGAGTACGTAAAGGCAGGGTATGGGACAACACATTTCTGTTTTTTTTTAGAAACAGAAACAAGCTTTTCTTGTGCATTATTCCGCAACTTGATTTGTTTTGTAAAAAATGTAACCGAAGAATAACTGTAGCTTTCAAATGGATTATACAAAAGACATACATATTTCCGTGTGGCTTAAACGAATTTAAACGTAAGAGCAGAAAAAAAAGTCCGGAACAACACTTTCCCAGTTTTTAAAATGACAAAGAGAATAGCATGGAAACGGGAAGTTAAGGGGAAGTTAGTGTTTTGAGGAAGTCAAGGAGAAGTCAGTATTTTAGTTTTAGTTTAGAAAAATAATACCTCAAATTAATATGACCTACAAATTGTTTCACATCACATGACAGTGATAAGCGTATGGACCTCTCATGCATAATCTTATTTACAAAAACAGACACCGTGGACCTGAATGTTACGGAACTTCAGAAGAAAAGGCAAAAATGTTGAAAACTACCAAGTAATACTACTTGCAAAGGAACGAAGTGATGACTGCTTATCATGAAAAAAATAAGCCACTAAACATCACGAGATTCCACGACCCAAAACAGGCCTCAACTAAGAGTGTTTGTCCACATGTGTTGTTCTTCGCAGAGGGGTTTTCTGGGGTCACTAACACACTGAGAAAATATTGAGTTGAAATTTTATACACTTTCTTGACCTAATAAAATTTTTATCCGATTACATTTTGTCCACTTTTTCCCTATGTTTGTGCAGAGCAAAGACCTGCACAGGCCAATTATTAGGGGCCCGGCCCGGCCTACCTCGGCCCGCTGTCTCTTGGGACAGGGCCCGGCCGGGCAAGGCCGACGCTGATTTTCATGAGCCCGTGGGAGCCGGCTCTAATTTTGGCCAGTATGAATGGCTCACACATTGCGAGGTATGACAGCTCGCTTGCCACTGATACACATGTTAGCCACGGTACCCCATTATCAAAACCCATAGTTCGCCACTGGACCACGAGATAGCGGTTCTTGTACCAGAATCGGCGGAGGCGCTATAGACCGACACGCGGGCTTGACGTCACGAAGCTGCGGCGGCGCTGCGAACGCGCTGGAGCCGGGTGGTGTGGGCAAAAGGGCGCACGTTTTGATGGGCATCATAGCATTTTAGATACCACAAAGCTGTGTAGCAGTTAATTGCACTGAAAGGTACAGCCAACGTATCGGGTGAGTTTCCACAAGTTTCCGGCTGACTCTAAAAGGCGCAGAAGGTGGATAATATCCGTGGATCGAAAATAATGGTCGCCTCGCGCGGACGACCGTTCGTGCGGCAAGCACTTTCTTGAAAGCAAATGTGGTGTCCATTTCAATCTCCGTCCTGAGGCTTGCTTATGTGCAGGAAAACCGTCGTCTGATCGAGACCACCGGGATTTCGTTCCCACGATGTTCGAGCACAAAGCACCTGCCAAACGCTCGTCGGTGGCTCGCTAGGCCCACGTTATCAGGCGGAAGGAGATCGGCGACAAAACGTCAGTGTTGTTGGTATTATTGAGAAAAAAAGTAACGAGGTACGTTACTCGTTACTTGCGAATAAAAGGAAAGCGTAACCGACCTACGTTACCTCAAAATAAAAGGAACGCGTTACCGTTGCCGATAAGAAGTAACGCACGTTACTTTTGCATTACTTTATTTTAATTATGATTTTACTCGTTATACTGCTTTGTTGGTACCGGCATGCATAAAATAATATTTCAAGAAACATTATGTTCATACAGAAACTGAATATAATTACTTTATTTCTTTTTACGGTCTCACCTAAATACTCACAAAAACAAATGCAAAGAAAAACGCAAAAAACTCAAAAATTCACGTGGCTTGACGCCCGAAAACACGGAAAAAATTGAAGTGTAATTCCTTTAAGACTTGGGGAAAAAAAGAGCAACGAGTAACCTAACTACTTTACCCGTTACTTGAAATAGTCACGTAAATGCTCTACCCGTTATTGTTTTAAGAAAGTAACGAGTACGTCACCAAGTTACTGAAAAAACTAACACGTTACCGGTAGCGCCGTTACTCGTAACGTGTTACCACCAAGACTGCAGAACATGCAACGCGTTACCGCTTGTCATGCCTTGTGGTCATGAGGGTAGGAAAAATATCATACATTGATTCGAAGACGCTGTGTGTATTCAAACACTTCATAAATACACTTCAGGTGACCCAAAGTCTGCTGATCCCGCCGGCAGTGCGGAAACCGGCTCGAAGTAATCGTAGGCCTCGAGAGACTTGTACGGCTGCACCGTGTCGGCCGTCAACTGGCTTGGCGAAAAAACTACATAAACGACGACGTGAGCCGTCGACGTCGGTGACAGCAACTTCGCATCGGAACTGCACCAGCTCTTGTTTACGGCGTACGGATTTTCGAAGGCAACGCCGTCCACGCAGAGTTTGTCTCGATACCGCCGCCCCTCACGCGCGAGTAGCGAGCTCAAATAGTCGGGCATAACATACGACATACGTTGGCAGAACGTACGGCGCACAAATAAAGCTAGAAGCGTCTCTACAGTGTCAAAAACGAGCGCACGCCATTGAACGCAAAGGCGAAAAGATGGAGAGCCTGGCCTCTTCTTTCCACATAGCTGCTGCGCATGCGCGGGCCTTGCGGCCGTGTTGGTAAACAGAGCCGCGCTGCGTGTCGGTCTATATCCATCATGAAACGACATTTTGTTATTGTCCCTCGGCTGGCGTCGAACCAGCGACCTCACGCTCAGTAGTCCGACGCGGTATCCCTCCGCTACGGCGGAGGGGTACCGCCACATCCGTAAATCATATGTCTGTCTTTAATGCATCGGCGCTTAGGCATTCGCCTTCAAGTCGTCCTAGGGATAGCATAAAGGCCGGCACACATTGGGCGTATTCTCGACGAATTTACGCGCGTTTCAGCGGGTGTAATCACGGCATTTGGCAGGCGCTTTCATCACAGAATGGAAGAACAAAATGTCGCCAAACCACACACGACACTTTTCGTCGACGTCCCCTCGGTATTCGGTGCAGAGTAGCCAGACTCAGGCTTTTCATGAAGGAAGGGAAATATATAAATCGGCCGCCTATATTATTGCGTTCCGCAAGCGGACAGAAAAAAGGCTCGAGGTACACCTAAGCACTTCTCATGAGTTGTGAATGCGAAAGCACGCGTTCCGTTCTTCCGCTCCCGTGTTTCGTTTGGGGCGTATTTGCGTCGGCCTTACTCGCAGCTCTGATTTTGGACGCTTGTGCTACAGCCGCGATCGCCTGTAACACGAAGGTCCTGACCTTATGTGATAACAACTGAACTGACACCGCCCGGCCAACGTGCTGGCATTTTTAATAAAACAAGAGGGCAAGTATACTGTATATCCCGTTGCCTATCTCACTCGGGTATTACTATTAACCAAGCTCAGCATGTCTCGCAAGAGAATAAATCAGTTACTTCGACAGTTCTTGCTCTTCTGGCGATCTGTATTAGAACACTCTGAGCGAAAACTTGTCTTTTAATTGTGATTATTTTTTGTTAAGGTCCGTTTAAGGAAAAGTTTTTCATACAAGGCGGAAAATCCTTCTCGCCACCCTTCCGATTTCCCCCTCTCCCGCTTTGCCGTCTCGACGACGGGGGGCTCCTTCTGTTGCTGCATCTTGGGGTGGGACATGCCGGGATCAACTGATTATCCGGGGTTCACTAGGACAGCGCAGCGGCGCGGTGGGGGGAAGGGGGGGGGGGGCGATTTCGTATCTTCGAGGGGTCTTGCTTCGTGCAGGCTTCGTTTCCGGCTTGAGCGGCGTCGCCGTCGCCGTCGGCGTCGCAGTCGGCGTAACCACGCGTTGCATTATGGGAAATGTCCCATGATGCACCGCGCGAGCCCCCCCCCCCCCCCCCGGGGTCACGTGACCTCAGGGGGCGGTCACGTGACTCCCCTGCGGTCACGTGACCCCCCTCCCCTTGAGGTCACGTGACCCCACCCTTCCCCGAGGTCACGCGACCTCCGAGGTCACGTGACTCCCTTGAGGTCACGTGACCCCCATCCCCGAGGTCACGCTGTGTCGGAGTGTATCACCGACTCATTCGGTGCTGTGCGTGCGGGCACGTGTGTGTGTGTCTGTGTGTCCCACCGTAGGCGCTCGCGCCAGATTACGAAGAATCCTCGCCTCGCGGCCAAGGGAAGAAAAGAGGACAAAGAAGAGGGACAGCAAAAAAAGGGCGGTTAGCCATCGCAAGCCTTCGCACGGAGAAAGTCGTAGCAGTTTTCCGTGTCGCAAACTCAAGCCGAGTTTGGATAAAGATATGTGCCGGGAAGTAGTGCTGGATACTGTCTCTCCTCAACGTCGGGCCCCGACGACGGTGTCTGGGCAGCTCCTAACCAGAGTCTTCACAATTGGTGGCAGCGGTGGGATTCTACGTTGAAGGTTTCGCGGGAAAGTAAACCCCCGCAATCGAGACAGTGCCCATGTCGTCTGAAGAAGCAAGTACGGCGGCCATCAAAACCGTAGTCGAAATCATGGCAAACTCGATCGGCGCCGCAGTGCTCGTCTTGGGCTCAATGGTGCCCTCGTTTTCGAGTGAGGGCAGCGGCCCCACTGTGGCAGACTTTCTTCAGGTGCTAAGCCAATTAGCTCAGATGGGAGGTTGGAGTGATGAACAACAGATTGGCATCGCTAAATGCAAGATGATCGGAAGGGCCTACAACTTTGCCTGGCACGATGAAGAAATGAGAGCGGTGAAGAAATATCCCGAGTTCAGGAATCTAATGCTCAGGAGATTTGACAATGAACCGGAAAGTCTGAGGCTTGAGAAGTTCATGGCTGCCAAGCAAGAGACTAAAGAGGACGTCCGAGAATTCGCAAGTCGACTGCGGGCGCTGGGTGCGAACACTATCCCGAAGTTCGAAGGGGCCGGCACGGCTGAATCACGAGCAGCTGCAGATAGTGTGCTGCAGCAACAGCTTCTCTCCTTGTACGTAAATGGACTTCGAGATCCTGTCAGACGCTACGTGCTATCAAAGGGTCGAACTAGCTTTGCCGACGCCGTGGATGCTGCCGCTGCAGAAGAGCGCAATGAGAAGTTAGTTGCACCCGGGGCTGCAGTACGTGCGGTCGATGCGCGCGAGGAAAAGAATGAGACGGACTTACTCTCTCAGCGCCTCGACAGGCTAGAGAAGCTGTTTGCTGACAGCATCGCTCTTCAGCGGGCGCCGATGGAGAGGGGTCTCCCTCAGAATACGTCAGTGCGTCTCCCAATGCGTTGCTGGTACTGCGACCTGGTCGACCATAGAATAAGAGAGTGCAGAAGTAGAATCGAGGATGAAAGGGTTTCACTTCCGAACTCCGCACAACAAGGGGTACAGCAGCCCCACAGGAACGAAGAAACAGGAAAGGTCGCTTCGGGAGGGCCCCACGGGCAGGGAAACTAACAGGTCCCCTTCCGAGCGACACCGGCGGAGGGGGAGAAATAAACGTGGCCATTAGGTTGTGCGGAGAGAGCGGTCCGG